GAAGAACAAAATTGACGAAGATTCGGGTTGAAATGAGACCTAGAAGAGAGGCCAACGCAAGAGCATACCAAACCCGAACAGGATAAGACAAACGAATGCCGCCAACAAAGCCGGACAAGAAACCAAAACCAAAGTCCTTAAGCAAGGAAATCCTTTTGTAAGGATAGATCCGCAGGGCGCAAGCTTCAAGAACAAAGGTGAACATAACACAGAAATGGCACACTGCTTTGTGAAAAGAACCCTTCAAAATCAACCACTCAACATCACTGCACTGAGTGCAAAAGTCTAGGAACACCAATACCCACGGGACTCGCGAATCATTGTTTGTGTGGTTCAATCAAACATTAGCACGTTCCAAATATAACCTGATAGAGTGCAGAAGCTTGTTAGTCATAGACCGATGAAAGAATGTTTGGAGCAATGTTAGTGACTGTTAGTGATAGACTGATGGCGCCAACGCATCGTTTAAGACTGTAGGTCTTAAACTGAGGGAGTTCGGAAAGGCTGTCTTTCGAGGCCAAATGAGTGAAGCCTCGCGTTGACCCTATGGCGTTGAGCCACTGGCCTTCGTTCACCTGGAGAACTCACGTTGCCCTATGATGCGAAGCTATGATAAGTGTGGGGCCGGGAGGCTGCGAAGAACAAGATCTTAAAGAAAGCAAAGCTTTCTTTTGGAAGGGAATGGATCTGGGATCAGGTTGATCCAAGATTCTTGGCTTCTGGCAAATACGTGCAAAAACAAGGTGTTTTGAAAGGGTCGACGTCTGATTCGACAACCAACAGGTATACTCAGGAACCATGATTCGGTAATCAAAACTGCTGCTTTCGGTGTCAAATCAATCGGCCCTCTATGGACCTCTCATCTGTGCCTGTGACCTGCTGGCCCCAAAGCTCCTTGGGCTTTCGTGGAAGCACTGCCAATAGCCACATGACCCCTGAGCTGCACCTGCAAGAATCAATTGTTCAGAAGTCGCTGGACATCTGATTGAATGACTTTCCAGCAGCTTGTGTACAGACTGTTCAAGAGACGCGAATTCACCGTCACTCACACATTCATTGGCACGCATACTAGCTCTTCTTCCTCTCTTTCTTTGTCGCTCTCCCTCACACACGCTTTCACCGGCAAAAGGCAGTGAAAGGATCTCTTGTCAAACACATTTCTTGAAGTCTGAAGTCCCAGCTCAGCGAATGTTTGTACAGTAACTGCATATAGCTGCTGACAAGGCTCAAATGGGCCAGAAACCTAGGCAGACTAAGCAGCCCTTAATCTGAGAAAAAATGAACAATCGTTCACCTTTCTGCTATGATTTCCCTAATGTTGAGAGAACACCTTCGATGGCATGGCAGCTGCTCTGATGGATGAAAGTTCGTGTTCTGTCAACTCCCATGCCACAAAAGGCAACATGTTCACCACTCCAAGGCTGAAGTTCCCCCACAAACTGCTGCAAGTAACTGCACAACCCAATGAAGTCGGAATAAACATCCATTGACAGCACGCTGGAATCAGAGAGTCATGGTCGATTCTGCAGGAAGTGATCAAAAACTTGGTCCGTTGGAGCACTATCCAACCATGCACACCTGTTATCCACGTCCACATGGATGGTGCCTCGAAGGCTTGGGTCCCCACATGCATGATGGAGTACAATGAAAACTTGAAATCTGTGAGCCTTTTCATTGCAAACCAGTTCATCTGCTCCAGTTCTGGCTTTACAGCAGGGCAGTAACATCTTATGCCTTCGAACACGCGCCGTTGGTTTGGCAAGGGACGCGATGCCGTTGGGCAGGTGTAAAGAGTCCAGCTCTCTTGAAGACAAAGAACCCACCTACACGAAAGAGCAGTACCACAATTCACATCGAGCATGTAACAAGCACACAGGCAAGTATCTAAAGTCAACATGTTGATTCTAGTATACCCCTCCTGTTGGTTCCCTTTCCTAAATGCAATCCAATTCTTGCTGCCACCACACAAGAGAATCACCAGAGAGGGCGATGCATCCCATCTGTATCATTAAGTACAGCAAGGGCATGCTCCACACCTCAGGGCAAGCCGAAAGAGGACGCTCCTGGCCTTACCACTAGGAGCAAGGACGCTGCTAGGGGCTCCTAGCCGTACTACTAGGAACAAGAAGCTACTAGGAACAAAGGGCATCGCTACTAGGAACAAGGACGCAAGGGCATGCTCCACACCTCAGGGCTTTTCACCGCCTGGAAGAACTGAAATCGAGGTGAGTTGACATCAGATGTGTACCTGTTCACGGTGCACCAAAACCAATGCACCAATACTACTTAGATGATGTACCTGTGTAAAGGCAGAAAATTCAAACCCCCAAAAGTGTTGGATGGATCATCATCCTAATGTATCCTAATGTTGGTCTATTAAAGTCTATGGGTGTGCGCTATGTGCTCGTTTCACCTCGCTTTGCCCAGATCAGTCGCCCGATAAAGAACGAACACGCGCTCGCCTTTTCACCAGGGCACGATGGGCTCGGTGAGGCCCGAGGTGAATGTTAACATCCATCCTCGTTGTGGCCCGTAGTAGGTCTTCTTTTCGTCGAACAGCTGCGAAGCAAAAGCATGTGAACCACAGCGTCGCATGACCAGGGCAGGTCCACACAGCGTCGCATGACCCAAACACTGCATCCCTAGGTAAATATGAAGAAATCCAAGGAAAAAGTATCACAAAAGGCATTGACTGAAAAATGCGTGTGCTTCCTTGTTACTTGCGGAATTCTTGGCACGACTATGTTATGAGTTATGACGGCAAACACTCAATCGTTGAAACGGTGCAGGCATTCAGTTGAACAGGCAAATGTTGGTTGAAAGAAGGCATTGCTAGAGCGCAGGCCAAGGCCCCAACGCTGGAGGAAATGTTGAGGCGAGTGTTTGGCAGGAAGGACCGACCAAACAGAACAACACACTCAACCGGAGAATATGTTGTACGGCATGTCAGCTGCAGTTGGAGAAGTCTTTGCATCTGCGGCCCAAGCTATAGACAATCCAAATATATCTCTCTTTGGTACACGCTTTTCTGCCACTGATCTATCTGATCTACACCAGTGACTCGGTCAAAACTTCTACACTGTGACGGTACATTGGAGACTTAACCAGTAGACCACGCCTCTGGACAGCGGAAGTATCACTTCGAATCGGTTCCGAGTCGGTTCCCGGTCGTTTCGTCGTCCATCCCGTCTTGCCTTGGTCTGCTCCAAACGTGCTCGCATGGCTTCCATGGAGCTACCCAGAATCACCGCTTCAACCTCCCGGGGGGGACGAAGCAGGACGGTGCAGTTCAACCACCCGCGGGACGACGTGTCAAGATGGGTCCTTCGCTCAGAACTCACAGTCTTCCGAGTTCCCAAACAACTGCAGCCGCACAAATAAGGATGCACAAGGAGGGTTAGCTACCCTGTTCCAAACAGTGTCTCAGTACACAGGCGCACAGCGTTGCACCACTCCCCAAACGGAATGGTCACGTGTCAAATGCTCTGTCATTGATCTCTTGTGGGGTCCGAACATTCGTGGAGGTGGTCACGTTAGCCACTAGCTAAGGCTTTTCATTAAGCTGACGTTGGAGACACCCTCAGAAAGCTATTAACTCGCCAACGCATGCCAACGCAACTGTATCTTCATCCATCTGCATCCCACTCCTCGGTTTGGACATCATCTTCATCTTCTTCTCCTTCAACCTGGCAGAGCGTTTCTGTGACCGGTGAAGGCTTGCACGCAGTATACTGTAGGCATATCCAGTCAACAGGAAATGAGCATCCCGCTTGCTTTCCTTTGCCAGCAAAGCCCAGCTTAAGTCGTATCCAAACTTCTAAGAACTCACTTTGGTAGAGGAAAAGCATGGAGAGCCTTCCAATCCGCACTCGCTTTCAGGCTGTGTTTGTACCACGAGTCTCCCAGTCTCTCTCTGCATGTCTTGTCGGAACCCCGTGTCGAACGTCTCGGAACCGCCCGTGTCGTCTCGTCCCAGCTCACCAGGTCTGGTCGGGGTGGCTGCCAAGTGAAAAGCGCCAGATTTCCGGAGAGCCAAGCTGTGACTTTGTAGCTCGCCTGAGAGGACCCGCGGCGTTTTTCTTTCTTCGCGGAGAGGACGGTATGTCCGGGTCTTGGGAAGCTGAATAACTGGGTGCGGGACCACATGGCTACCACTAGTTAACTAGTTCTTGGCTAGCTGGATGATTGTGGCAGCATTGGAGAAACTTCCATCGGCGCCTCAGGCCATTGCTGCATGATTCGCGAGCGCAGCTCCTCTTGCACCTGTGCCGCCCGGCTGCTGCGCGGCAGCGGACACAGCAGCAAGCATGGCACACAGCAGGGCGTCGCCAGGCACCACATGGCTTGAAGGCGCTGGCAAAGGTTGTGAACCCTGGAGCAAATGGTGGACCAAACGCTTCTGACCAGGAGGGTTGGAGTGGGAGATCGTGATCATTGACATATCCATATCCTGCAGGTGTGGAAAAATGTAGGGAAACGTGAGGGAACTGCATATTTTGTTGATAGAGATTTACCCACGGCTCAGTCGTTTTGTTCACCTTGTCGCCATTGATTCATGGCACTTGTTCTGTATTGATGGACTCAAAGCGATGCTTCTGTGACAGTTCAAACGAAAGAGGTCCTCCAGCATTAGCATAAAAGAGGACCTGTTGGAATCTCTTCGCTGAAAGCCAGGTGTTCTTGTCTGTGGCTCCTCCGTCGACCGGGTGTGAGGGCTGCAGCACCATCCGCTTTTTCGTTAATCATGCTTCTTTATTTGAAGCTTCAGCCAAAGACTTGCAGGATGTTTGTTCTGCAATGCAAAAAGTAAATCTGCTGGAAAGAAGCTTGTAAACGGCTTCTTATGATCAAAAAAGCTGATGGTGCGCAGAATCTACTCATCTACTCTTCAAACGTGTCTACAGTATTGAGCTCAGCAAAAGGGATGGTTCAGCAGCAGTATGCAGCAACAAAGCCCAAGCTCCAGGGGTTGTTTCTTTAATGAATCTGGGCTGCCCTACCCATGGCCAGAACCGTGGAACCTAGCGGCGCTGCAGGTTGAAAAGGCTACTATATAAATACAATTTGTTGCAATCACAGGAAGGTCAAAAATGGAGCAGAATGCGTGCATGTGCATCCAAACAACATGTGTCGTGTCAATGTGCAATGCATAACCAAGTGATGCAGTCTGATGTGGGTTATATTCTGCTATTCAATTCTTCATGACTTCCGGCATAACAGCCGGGTAGACCGGGTAAACGTTTTCAAACCTTGTAGCCTGAAGGAGTCGAGGCAATTTCCCGACTCGTGGATCACAGGAAAACGTACTGTCATTGTCTGATGACGGCAAGCCAAGTCATCGAATTTTGAAACTTTGAAAACAGGTTTAAAGTGTGGTTGCCTTGCCGCAAAGAAAGCCAAACAACTTGACCAAACACAAAATTTATTCACAAAGTCATATGTTAGCCTGTTAGCCCTACTGGGCGCGACTGTGTCTGGTTACTACTTTGACAGAACGATTGTGGCTTTCTACCAAATAGGCATTTGCAGCATATTGCTTACCGCATAAGGCTGTACCGTTGAAGTTCTTTGCCCGGCGATCTGCCGCACTGAGATCTGATGCTACCCTTCTTCTCCACCCATGTCCATCATTCCTTCGGAATGGTTCTCTGAGCTCGAATCTTCTCGATTGCAAGGTCGAGTTGCTGCCAGCCAACCAGCTGAGATTCATTGTGATAGAGGCTCTTGTGACGCATCAATCCTAACAAATTGGAAAGGTGCATTCTATCGAAGACCTTCGACATCTTGCGCTTCTCTCGATCAGGGATCGATGGCAAGTCGGCATCTCCAGCCTCAGTTTCAAGCCAATGAAGAAGCTCAGAAGCATCACAGGTGATCTCCTGGACCTTCTCCCGGATGACTTGCAGGGCATAGGCCATAAACTCCCTGTACTCCATCTTGTGAAGGAGGATCCGTTGCCTCTTGTCCAGCTTGACCCTCTCTGTGTGGAAGAGGTGGCAAAAGCTGCAAGTATGTCCATTGCGGCAAAGCCCCACCTGGAAGAAGCTACAAGGACGAAAGCATAATTCTGGATGTCCCCAACTGCCTGAGCTGGCTAAAGGGAGATGCCCAGGCTCTGAGTCTGGAATGGGTTCTACCATGACTGCCTCTGACTGCTCCGTTTCATCATCTGGAGACACCATGCCGCAGCTGGCCCCTTGATTCCACCACTTTGCTTCAAGCTTCTTTGACAATCCTTCGACATACACAGACTTCTTTTCTTCATTGGGGTCATTGGCCCAGGTCACAACGTGGAAAGCAGGGCTGCTCCTTGAACACCAGAGAGTAGGCCGAGTAGGCACTGGCTCTTCGGCGCATATGAAAGTACGTTGGTAGCGTAGCATCAATCGAGCCATGCAGCAATGAGACCCCTTTTTTAAGTTAAAAAACAATAATAATAATAATATATTGAGCCTGAAAAGGCAATGGAAATCGACACATGGTTCGGTGGATCGTGGGACATCGGCACATTGCCTTCCGGTCCGTCGAAGCAAGGAAGCATCGCAAGAATCAAAGGTGATGTTCGCAATGTCTTTCCTTCAGCTTGGCTCTGCCTACAATTTTGGAGGCCACAAGAAGTACCCCCACACAAGGAAGGAACTTTGCCTGGCATCATCATGGCCACGCCCAAGCCAGCAGCTTGCACCTGAAACCAAATCGTCCAAGGTACACCGCACACCCTTGCGGAAATCTTGAAGAATTCTGCCTTTTGCCTCAATGCCTCAATATCAAGGAAACCTGCAGACTACAGCAAATCAAGTGGCAACACACAAAAAGTCAAGCGGTTGAAGCTGCAGTAGCTGGCACGGGACAGGTATAAGGGCTTAGACTATCTCCTTACAATCTGCATAGACCTTTATTTATCTTATGACGCACAGCAACCGTAAAGTGTGAGCAACCGAAGCTGCCATAGATAGGTAGTATGCCAAAAAGCCCACCACAACCCCTACCCCGAAAATGTTCTCTGATGTCTTTAAGCGCGAAGAGAACACGGAGGGAGCTCCGAGCCGGAGCCACCCCTTCATGGCCACACCCGAAAGCGAAAATGAACAACTTCCTTCCCTGGCACTGAAGTCTGGACTTGGCCACGTTCCAGTTGTGACTTGTAATGCATCTGGATTGTTACCGGTGCGGTCTTTATGGATAGTGTTCGCATTGTGGATGGTTTACAAGCTCCATACTCCCGCGCCAGGACAAGGAGATCAACAGCCTGTCTCGATATTTGAGATGCAAGATTTCCTGAGGAAGATTATCATTCTGTACTAAGCAAAAGCCTGCAAAAGCTATATAATTGAGGGTGAACGCTGAGTCGTTGAACACGGCATGAACTTGAAGTCAGGACCAGTGCAATGGTCACCAAAGCTCCTCAACGTAGCGTTGCTCTGTCTTGAGCCGCTCCAGGTAGTCGGCACTGCCAAGGATTTTTTCAAGCTCATCCCGAACCTTCGTTCGGAGCGACGAAATTCGTTTCGAGGAGCGACGCCTGCGGTTTTCCAACGTCGCACGGATCGGATCGGATTCGGGAGACGCACGTTCAGCCCCCGCCTGCTTGCCCATGCTGGTGGCGCCACATACAAAAATGTATCCACCATTGTCTATCATCTGTTTCACATCACCAGATTTCTCACGAAGCCGGTGCTGAACATAGATCTTCTCTTTCTGCTCCCTGGAGAAAGCAGTAATCATTTCTTTTAATGCAGGGGGATCTGCTTTCGTCGCCTGATCCAACTCTTCTTTGTAGATAAAGTCCTCATCACTCTTAGTGCAGCCAAAGAAAAGCACTGTCTTGCTACGGCTGCCCTTCTCGACCATGAACTCCCGCACAAAGCCTCGAAAGGGCGCAAGACCGGTTCCTGCACCCAACATGATGATCGGCGTGGTGGTTCTCTTGGGCAAGCGGAAAGTGGAGGCTCTGGCAGCAATCCACAGCTTCTCCCCTTTGCTGGTCCGCAGGCATAGCATCTCTGAGCAAAGACCGCGGAAGCGTCGCGGCGCGCTGGCGGTCTCTCCAAGTCTCTGCAAATAGGCAGATTCTTGGGGAAGCGTGATGCCCCTGGCGCCCAGTTCTTTTAAGACCGCCTCCGGGCTCTTGTGATTCTCTTGTACCATGCTCACACAAATGCCGATCCTGGTGGAATCCTCTTTCGACGAGGAAGCAATGGTGTAGGGTCTATTCTTCTGTCTTTGGCAAAGCTGTACAAAGGCACTCAAGTCTATGTCTGCCGATGGCATGAATAGTTCAAAGAAGTCTCGGAGTGTAAGGCGGCCATCTACAAGCACCTGATATGCTTCTCGATCCTGGACTAGGCCAAAAAGAGCCTCACGGTCAGCTGCGTCCTGCACAAGCGGCGCAAACCGTTTGGCGGTGTTCCTCTGTGGAAACGTGCAAAGGTCGCAATAAATGGATAGAGCGATCTGAACTTTGCAAGGTGCCGGGAAAGGCTTCCTAAGCTCGGTTAAGGATGTCAGCTTCATGAGAGATGCCAAAAAAAGGAAAAGCTGTGGCAAATGAAACTCCAAGCTGCTTGACAGGTTTGCTAGTGTTGGTCCGGACAAAAGTCATGTGGTGCTCCAACTGGTCCTTCACCTTCAACCGATCGGCAAACCACTCCACCACACCGTCAGGATTTTGTGGCAGCACTTCCAGGTTATCAGCTGTTCTCCAGCTCACCCCTGGAAGTTGTTTAACGTCAAACTCCAGATGCTTTGTGGTCTTTCCGCCGTCAATGTCAGGCTTTTGCCTGAGCTCCTCGCAAGCTACCACCGAGGCTTGCGATGCTTGGAAGTACCACTTGCCGATGATGTCCGCACCACCCACCTGAACCAATGGATCGACAGGCAAACCCCTAGCGCTTTCCGCCATCTTGACTTGCAAGGTGAGACGTTGCAAGGCGGCTTCAGCACTTTCCAAGCCCTCCTCAGTGTCGTGCACCAAACCGAAACCCTTCCAGGCAGGATGACTCAAGCACCCGAAACCAATGTGCAAAGGTCTTCAAGCAAATCAAAAATCTATGAATCTATACATTCTCTCCAATCAAAAAGACTTCGCAAAAAGACCGGGTCTCGTCCTTCGCTTGGTTTTCCTCTTTTCCCAATGCCTTTCGCAAAGCGGGCCACAAACCGTTCTCCTTCCACTGCTCGAAATCCTCTTCGATGTTTTGGTCATCATCACCCTCGCCCCGTTCGTAGACACGAGAGGCGCCCAAGACTTCCAGTTGTTTATCAACTTCTTTGCCCACCATGTTGAAGTTCACATATTGCCTACACATCTTTTTTCACATATCTAACATCTAACGTGAGCATAAGAACGTGTGTTGCCTGTGCTCCATGCGCACAACTGTGTTTGGTATGATCCTTCTTGAGTATGATGTAGTATGATTGTGCCAAACGAATCATATGTTGGTGATGCAAGCAGAGCACCTTGCATCGCATGCACTTTTTATTGTATTGTCTGGCGGTGAATGGGATGCATGGATGGATAGGTCAAAGGGGCATGGATGCAAGGTGGGGATTGATTGCCGAACACAGAACATGTATACTTTCATCCCACTTGGAATGTGCTTCAGACAGCATCTCCCCTCCGCACCTGTTTCCCAAGCCCATGACAGCAAAGCTCATGCCCTTCAAACAACCTTCCTCTCGGCCATCCTCATGGATCCACTTGTAGAACTCAACTGCGTTGTCTGTGGGGTCACCTTCCCCGTATGTGGCCATCACCATCACCACAGCCTTGTGTTCTAAGAAGGTGTCAGGATCGAAGTCCTCCAAGGGGTAAGATCTTTACTCATCTGGAGAAAGTGTGTGGAAATCGTACGGCAAATCAGCCTTTTGATTCCGGGCAGAGGGGTTCAGGGTGAGCATTAGTACAGGAAAGCTGTGCAGGAAGTAGAGGCAGCCCAGAATCAACGAGTTTTTTGTGACAATTCTAGAAACGTCAGAAGCAAAGCTAGAAAACTGAAGTGCCGAAATGCTGAGCAACTTGAATGGTTTCTCATCTTTGGTCCTCCATGTCAACAACCGTGGCTTCGATGTCAAACTTGCTCGCCTCTTCTTCTAACTCCCGCGCAAAGCCTTCGGCTGTGCCCATCTGAGAGCCAAAGTAGATCCACAGGCCTACATTACCAGGGCTTGGAAGAAAGCCATTCTTGTTCTCTTTGCATCTTTGTTGAACACCAAGACTATCACACAAAAATATCTAACAGCGCGAAGCACTACAAATGCCACTTGTCACTTGTAGCCTTCGAGAGAAAACCGTGTCATCAGCGTCCCAGTCCTTGTGATGGGCCCTGCGAAGCAGCTGAACGCGGACTAGCTGGATCCTGCAGAAATATCTCACATCGAGGGGAAAAAATATCAAAGTTCTTCTACCCGACTTGGACGTTGGACTAGAGTAGAGCTACCTGCTAACATGTCCATGTGACATGGGAAAACAAACATGTGTCACCTCCCTCCGCCCCCCGTCCTTCTTGGTGACAGACGGCTGCGCCCCTTCGCTCCGCCGCTTCAGCTTCCAAAGGATTCCTGCCACGACGGCTGCAGCACCAAGGCCCAGCCCCAATTGGACCAGGTCGGAGACGTCGTTTCTCATCGGAGAAAACCACAAGGCGCTGCTGACCACAGTGTCCTCCACTGCACGCTGAGCACACGTCACTTGGTGCGTTGTTTTATCAGCCGAAATAATCCGCTGCGGAGTGAAGACTTACTTTGCGGGGCCTAGAAAATGGCCTCTAGTCCCAGTTGCCAATTGCATGATCACGAAATCCAAAAACTGGTGCATGTCGCCTCGTCGAATTTTGGTTTGAGTTGAAAGTGAGGAATCCAAAGACTTGGCAGCCCTTCCACACTCTCATGCAGTTTTGCTGTGATTTGACTACCGAAAATACCTAAGCCATGATGGCCTTGGTCAGTCGGACACCTTCAAGGTCAAAGGCACTCTTCCTGCGGCACGTGGGCGGCGGCTAACATGAAACAACCTGAAAGAACCTGAAACCACAAAAAGAAACACTGCTCTCCAAAAACAGCGCTCTTCGACTCTTCTCCAAGTCCCTTTTCACCTTGAAATACTGTGAATGACACGAACCGGTACCTTCATTGAACTGGTAGCGTGAGATACTGTTCGGGCTTGCAGGTGTCATCACATTCTAATGTGCATCCAAGACACAGCGACCGAGGAAGGCGGTCTGTGGAGAGCAGTGGATCCTCAGAGTAGGTTCAATTGGTGAAACTGCAACCGAATTACGATCTGCCGAATGTTGTCGATTCTGCCGATTGTTGTGCACATATCAAGATCCAGCCAACCCAGACTCTTCAACGGCAACCCTCTTGACCTAGTCAACCCTTTGACCTAGTCTGCCTTTCGCGGCACTGGGAGTGGACGAGCTTTCCGAGTTCCCAGCACTTCCACCCCCACATCGTCGGTCTGCAGGCCACTGAGCAATGGGCAAAGGCCAGCAGAAATGAAAAATATTGCTTCAAGAGGGAGGAAGGCACAGAGAGACGAGCTGCGGAAAACTGGAGACAAGTGTGACAAGTGAAGGACTCCGAACATTCAGGAAAGCATCAAGGACCGCTGTGCGTTTGCATCTTTCAACACCATACGATCTATGAATGCAACCTGAATCAAACCTCGCCTGGGAATAGATTTCGTACATATCCAGGCCAAGTCAAATCAGACCAAACAGAATGATTTGGATGTCAATCAGAAACTAGATGAAACTATATAAACTAGACTTGCCTGCTGTAGCTGCCCCCGGTGAGGTCCCTGTAGCACCTCGCACAGTATGATCGGCTTGAATTTGGTTCGAGCTCACGGCTAAGGACCAACCACCTCAACACTTCTTGTTTGTAGGGAATGTCCAGATTCACAACAAGTGGGCCTTTTCAGGGTTCTTCGAGCAAGGGCTAGCAGGCCTCACAATTACGCTGCAACAACCATCACCACGCCACAACGCAGCAATGGTCGTTTTCTTTGCGCGTCCAGCACATCCCTGAAAGCACATGTGAAATATCTGGCAACGTGTCTGAAGCCGCTTCGGCCAGTGTTCAGGATCCCTTTCCAGCGACGAATGGCCAGGAGGTTTGTCAAACGGAGGACATCTTCTGGTCATACACATATCGTGACCAGTCCTCCAACGTCGAGATCAAATAAGAGTAGGAAGGCAAACGTGGAGTACCTGCTGACTCCTGCTGCCTCCTCCTGCCATCTTCACACCAACAATGTCTACAGTCGGCTGACCTTCCGCATCGTTGGATGTGTGCTCTGTGATCTGGTTGATGCGCTTCCACGTGAGCTGCACATGTAATGCTCAAGGTCCGACAGGTCCTTGCTCTACAGCATCATGTTGCTCAACAATACATAGGAACCTCAAAAGGGCTCAGACTCCGGAGTGAACGCTGGACAGCGCGCGAAACAAAAATAGAGAATTGTCTCTCGTTTTCCGCCATGATCTACTGATTGTGCTTTGAGTTGTGCCACAAACCCGGTGTCCGGAGTCCAGTCGTCGGTGCGAGCGATCAGCCCGATGGCAACACAGGGAGAGAGTGGACCAATTATGCGAGAGGAACAAACTGAGCAAACCAAAACTACTGATTCACAAGTTTGCTACAAGTAAACAAACAGGTGACACGATTGTGATTGTGTGTAAACGACACCAACAGAATCAAAGCATCATAAGCATGCTGAATCTTCTACCATGTGCCTCAAAAGGTCTCCTCACAGTCTGGTTCGGGCCCATTCGTTAGGAGGATGGCTTCCTGGCAAGTTTGTGCTTACACAAAAGATCCCATCCCGACCCCTAGCAAACGTTTAGGACAGTCCTACATTGCTTGGCCAACCTCGTATTGCAGGGACATCTATATAAATAGATGCCCAAACCGAACCACGTGTCCTCCACAAGGCTTTTGACCCGAAGGAGATCCAGCGTCAGATTCGCATCTCGGTCCCAGTTCTCAAAGTCCAGGTCCTAAAGAAAGGAAGCGTGCCTTTATGACGGTTCTCAACCCTTTGTCGGCTAAACTCTAAACCCTCTCTCTTTACAAGTATATACATATGTACACATACATATAAATGCATATATATATACACAAACACATAAACATTAATCAGTCTCTTGATGCCAAAGATGCAAGTGCACAGTTTGTTTTAAATTCAATCCTTCAACACATGCGCAAGGTCTCAGAACCGCAACAAGCAGCTCCTCTATGGCATTTCGCGGGCGCAAGCAAATGTGGTGTATTAGGGCAAGCCGGGCCAAGCCGCCAAAGATCTCTGCACCGTCACGATTCCACCTCGGAGCTCGAGGACACTGGGCAGAGTCTCCTATCCGCCTCCCCCAGTATTTTAAATATTACGGCATGTCTCAACAAGTCAGCGGGCTTGCTTCTAGTAACAACCGCAGCTCCTCCATTCAACCAAAACATCCCACCCACCTGACTCCCTCTTTTTGGTTGCTTGTCAAGTCCCGCCCTCTCGGCGTGGGACACAAATCGGCGTCCTGGTAATCGTCCCCATCAAAGGGGTTGAAGTGAAACTACAACCATGGACGGGAGGGAATTTGATGGGGACCCCTCGTGAGCTTGAGCCAAAAATGTGGTCAAGCTCATATCCCCACAATCACCAAAAATTGGGAAACACTGCGTATTGTTATTTCGGCCTTACAGCCCTCCACAAGAACCGGAGTTCATCCATTCAACGCCGCGTTCCACGCTCTACGAATCCTTCACAGCATGAAGCACTGCGATACTCGTGTTCTTGACATACTTGGGAAGAAAATTTTGGGAGAATTCTTCTGCCCGTTTCGCCTCCACGTTCAAGGACTTCTCCTCTGCAAGTCGGCCAAAATGGCCTCAACTTCCCAGGCCTCCACGTTGGTGTCTTCCGCAATCTGAAGGACCTCATGACTCTTGATCTCCAGGGCATCTTCTCAGGCCTTCTCCATCTTAATCCTGTCGGCCTTGTTGTCTTGAATCTTTGGGGCTTACGCTGTCTGCTCCATCAACTCTCCAGCGGACAAGCCTCGCGACAGCCAACTTCCTCCAATAGCGAAGAATCGTGTCAGATCCCCAGCACCGAAAGAGTTGGATCTTGTAAAACTCCACACCTTCGCGGCCATGTATTGCCCCCTGACAGCCTCAAAGTATGGCCAGTGATGTTCTGAGCAACTTCTGGAGAGTAACCCATTGCTATGGCACTCTCCTGAATGTCTGGGTCATACCCGACTTTGATGGGGCCACCCTTGCTTCGCTAGCGATCAGAAGGATCCTCTTGCGGCCTCCGCGCCGCCACAGGGCTTCTGATAGCCTTTGTCGGCGGCCTCATCGTCCACGACGATGTGTTTCTTCAATCTCACGGCAGCTTCCATTTCACGAACATGGACAAGAGCGCCACTGCCAAAGAGGGCCCGTCCGGAACCAACAGCCTCCACGTTGACTATCTTCCTAGAAGGGACACTACCTGCTGTGGTTGTTTCCACTGCCTCTTGACACTCTTCACTCTTCGCAAGTCATGGAAGTGAGCAGGGGCGGCGCCAGAAAGGTTGGAGGACCAGGCACTATCTCATCGCCCTCTCCGCGCGCATTTCGATGCCCACCCGACGCCGGACCGTGTCCTCCATGGTGGTGTCCAGTGTGAACCTCTCCCAGAACATGCGACAAAGTGAAGAAACAGGCGCCCGACAACGAACAAGCAATCGACCGCCCCTGCAAAATTCTACGCTACCTCAACTCAAAATCACAAGTGAATGAATTGACAGTCTCTCTCGCTCTGCCGCTTTGGCCTTGCTCGGCCTATCATTCTTCTCCTGAGCTGGGGCAGCGATGGTCATTAAACATTCTTCACAAGGGTGCCAGCACTCCTTGCAATCGCCCCCAATCCCACCGTAGCCCTGGCCCCCTGCTACCAACCACGACCTCAGCACTCTGAGCATCGCGCATGCTTCCCACAAGGCTTGCGACACTGGGGAACCAACGACTCATGACCAAACTTTTATTCATCTTCTGCCGTCCAGCAGGCCAAGGCAAACGTTTCCACCGGTCGATCGTCTACCAGTCGCACCGCTCCTCCCCCCCCAAGGGGATGCATCCACAAGAATCCGCTCTTTTGACACCACCTCAGAGTTTTTTGGCTTTGGTGACATGGCTGCATGCAGCGTACGCACAAAAAGTTTCAACTGAAGAATGAACCCCGAAGCCCATAACATCCCAACGACCTTGCTTCCAAGTCCTGCGGTAGTTGTTTCCAATCGTCCAGCTTGCTTTGGTCACCTGAACTGTCACTGTCGTCTCTGGCGATCTTCGCACCTGTCCACTCGGCCTCCTGACCTCTTGCGCCCTTACGCCAAACTATCTTGAGGCCCAATGTCAACCACCACAACAATGTGATGTTGAACACGTTCGCAAGCTGACTCTCTGTTCCTCGAGCCACCAGCAATGGATCATCCACAGACACCTGCAGCCTGCGTCTATCACTGTGGAACAACGCCTGCGTCGGCCTCACGAGCAGGGCTGTCATTCTGCCCCAGACCAACGGTCCTGTTCGAATGCCAAACAACACCGTTCGGTATACAAAGAAGCCTCCCAACGCACAACCGGAAAGAAAGCGCATCTCATTCTTCCTGACACGCAAGTGTTTGAACGCATCTGCAAAGTCCAGGCTCATGGAACAAACCTTCCAAGGGCAGCTTTGACTTCTAGTAGCCTTGGCGCATCCTCTGAGGCAGCTCTCAGCCTCGGCACCACGAGTCTTTCTTCCATATCTATGCGCTCGTTGACATGGCTTCTCCGAAGGTCATGAACCAAACGGCCCTTCACTGAGCCATCCAACCTCCTCTTGGTAATGTACCCAATGGCTGACCGCACCAATGGTCCATACACCGCTTCAGGCTTGTCCTTGTTCGGACTTTAGCGCACGAACTCCTTGTCCGAAAAGGGCATCCACATCTTGTCTTGCCTCTTTATAGGACTTGTAGTTTTCTCCTGCGCCATCTAGGTCTTGCGACGAATCAAGTGTGGCCTTCTCTTCCCATTTCGCAAAGAGGACGGCATCAAGTATGCCCAGCGGTGCGCCCAGCCGAGGCCATGTGGCTACCTCGGTATCGGTATCGGGATCTCCACTGACTTGGATCAATCTCTCCAGCAACTCTCCCCACAACCAGGTTCTGTTGCGACACAGTATAGAATCAACACTGCTGCCTTGTTGCGCCCCCAACCAAGTTCGTGCGCGTTGTTCAATGTTGCATTGCTGCCAACCAACTGCGACAATGTCGCGAGTTGCTCCAACTGTGACAACGTGGCGCGCAAAATCCGCCAAACAACCCTAGCCATCGAAGCCCATCCTCTCACACGCTCAATCGACCTCCAAGGGCCAAGGGTTTCTCAAGCCACCTATGCGCTGACTGTTTTCATTCTCAACTTTTGCTTTCTTGGAGAACATTCCGTCGCCCCGTTCATCTTCTCTCAACTTGAGGCTCCAGCTTGGCCTACGTTCACCTGCCGACTCCAAGAAACGTCGGTATGACTTTGCCAGCTCATCGCACAAGCCTTGAGGGTATTCTGCCGCTAACCGGTAACAAAGTCTTGAACACCGTCCTCCCACAGCAGCCCTGGGTAAACTCCATCAACGGTTGACCACGATGTTCAGGTGGGCCCGGACATCTCCGTTTCAAGATCTGCTCCAGATGTGCCGCGTTCGTCAACCAACCCGTCGGCTTCTTTTGCAGCCAGATGTATGAGTTTTCTGGGCGCCCAATGGAGAAGGGTCCCACCGGTTTTCCA